GAAGACTCAAGCAGCTAAAGGAGTAACAAAAATCACATCTGAGATATAAAGAACATCGAAGAGTTCATAATGGAATCCGAAACGGATCTGACGACAGAAGAACGCCAAGAACTCTTGAATGAAGAACACAAAGAAACTCGGCGAGATATGTTTTCTTCTGAAAAAGAGGATTAATGCCGATATCTGTTGTTAAAGATCTTTTGTAGTAGTAGGAGGATGTCAAAATAATGATCATAGAATGGCATCCAAATCAGGTTGAGGCTTGGGGATTTCTACAATTGCAATGCTATTAATAACTACTTACGAAAAATCCTGAAGAGAGAAAAGCAATCGACATTAGACAGATTATTTAACCCTTTCAAATGGAAAAAACATGACTAATAAAAATGTAAGACTATGTATGTATGTATTTTTATTATTACATATAAATAAACGTAGTAAGAAAGTATATATTTGTTTATTTTTGGTGTCTCCAGAACGAATTAATTAAATTCCCATTAAAACCTATGGTAAATCGATAATCGGTTAACGAACAATTCGGATAGCGAACAAAGTCTTGGAACGGATTATGTTCGTTAACCGATCACCCACTGTAGTGTGTTTTACATTATTATTGCAAACTGATATAGTCAATTATTTTATAAACATATTTATTATTTTAATTTTTATAAATTATTTAATTTGATGCAACGTGATGTGTTCAGAAGCAATTATTGTGGTGCATTAATTTAATTAATATGGCAGTGGGACTGGATTAAATTACTTTTTCATTTCAGATGTTTAATTAGTGTGTTACATTATGTGTAAAATTACATTAAAATATGTTTATATAGGAATAATATCTAATTATAATANGTGTAAAATTACACATGTTTATTATTACATTGTTAAAATTACATATGTTTATAATAATTAATAAATCTATATAGGAATAATATCTATGTGTCTGAATAAAACAAAGCCATTATAAAAATAAAAAGCGTGTGTTGCATCTTCATTGTTTGTAATCTTGATGTAAGTGAAATTGTATGATTTTAGTTTTTAAAAACTTAGATTTTTATTTATATTTTCTGTAATTTGATCTGTAAATGCAAAAAACTAATTTTATCAAATATCAACACTCTATAAATAATTTCATCATTTACTTATTGATGTCATATTTAAATTTCAAGAGATTGTATTATTTTTTAACTTCAGGGTAGTAAAGCTTTGTATATTTTTTCCCTTGAAAGTACTGTGTGTATTGTGAAAGAGAAGTGCAGAAACCTCAGCATGACTTAAACAAGTTTGTTGCCCTTCACAGTGGGGGACTCTGCTGGTCCCCCACTCTGAAGGGCAACAAACTGCTAATCATTTTATTACTTTTTCATAAGCTGCTTTCTTTGTCAGATGTGGAGTTGAATGACTAACAAATTGTTTTATTGTACTCAGGTGAATGTTTTGTTTTAGATTTGGCAACTAGTATTGCCAATAATAAATTTTGTAATTTTATTTTTAATCATTTTAAAAATATTGATAAAATTACCAAATAAATGTTTGGGTCACAATTACTAACTGGTATTGCTATGTAATGAACATAAATTTTAATTGATGCAAAATTGAAAGTGTTAAATTTCTTATCTTGCAATTGATCGGGAGACAGTGGGGGATAACACTGAAGCGAGGAAATCACGGCATTGTCAAAACAGCTGCAATGACTTATTTGAAATGAATTGGGATTGATCCTGTCATTGAAACCAGGAGAAAAAGATAGAATGTATAGCATTATGGTAAAGGTTAAATATTCTACATTGTTATGTGCACCAATTGTGATTTAATAAAATAACAGTTGTGATTAGTACAGCACACTCATGTTGCGAGAAAATTTACTGCAAGTGGTGGTAAGATATTGGTTTTTGTAAAATTTCTGTGGAAAAAAGGTCATAAGCTGGGAATCACTTCAGAGCATATCAGTTGAGGAATACTAGAAAGCCTGCAGTTCAACTGTTGTTTATTTTTGAGAAATTTAATTTAAAAAATGCCATGTATTTGCTGGATACATACATGCCTAGATGCAAGTTAATAAACAAAAATTCTTTAATTTATATATTACAGTCTTTTTGCATTTTTACATTCATAAAATTAAAAAAGTATAAAAATTATATGAGACATGGTGTCATAAAACTATATAAAATGATTAAAAAAATACCAATGGAAAAAATTAAATTATTTCCAGGTCAAATTAGAATTCTTTAGAAGTTATTTGGTTTAAAATAATACAATTATAAGCACTTATTTGACCTGAAGAATTCTGCTGGGATGCCAAAATACCCAATTGTTGCTAAAGTAGTCAAAGGGTTGTTGGCTCTCAGTCATGGCAATGCAGATGTTGAAAGAGTTCTCCATTACTACATGAATTCTGATAGAAGACAGAGTCTCTGTCAAAATGAATGATGAATTCATTGTTGATAGTAAAAGATGGACTTGGTGTATACAACAATAATGCCTTTTTGGTGCCAATGACAAAGAAGTTACTTGGGTGGCCAACCCAAGTAACTTCTTTGTCAATTAACAATGCATATGCTACTTACAAAGCTTTTTTGGACAAGCAAAGTAAACTGAAAGAAGAAGTAAAGCAAAAAAAAAAAAAAGAACAAGAAGGAAGGGAGAGAAAAGAAGAGGATAAAATAAAAGCACCTAAACAGGAGAGAGAAAATTGATACTCTTGAAGTTGAGCTGAAGGAAAAAAAGAAGAAGAAATGCAAAGGAAAATGAGGTGTAGAGTTTTTGAAGAAGCCAATAATAGACTACAAAACGCTGTTGAGAAAAACAACGTTGCTTGCCCATGGGCTATTGGAAGGTGCAAAGAAAATTCAATGTGATGAAGAAGAGAAAACAAGAGAAGTGCAGAAACCTCAGCATGACTTAAACAAAAGAAAAACTTTTTTAATTACAAATTTTTTTAACAAGAAATCAAAAAATGTACATTCAAGTAAATGGCATTTGAGATTTGGCATGTTATATGGAGACACATGCTGGTAGTTATGTTACTCTTCCATTTCTTTTGCTGTATAACAGTGGGAGCTCCATATGAAGCACATGAAAACTTAACGTAGGCCCATTCTGGCTTAATGCAGTCTTACTGGTCACTTTTCTGGAATATAAACTCAGCCTATTTTCATATTTAATTTTTTCAGTCCACTTAATAATCAATCTAATATCATACATGCACATATTGTATCAATAACATTGCATGTTTCTGTATTTTTTTTAATAACGTCTCTTTTAGTTCACTTTAACTTTATTAGCTATTTTAGCTTTTTTTCAGTGTGAACTCTCTTTTCTCACTTTTTTTCACTGCCATGACTGCTTTAAGCCCTGGTTATCTTTTTCTTTTACTTAAATTTAAATTTTATTTTGTTATATGTATATTATTTGCTAAGCCAAAAATAGCCACAATTATGCATTAAAAGAGCGCAGGTCCTATAAGAAGTTATACATACTTTGTTCACTGAAATTCAAATGACCTAGACCAGGGGTTGCCAACCCCTGGTCTAGGTCATTTGAATTTCAGTGGAATAAGTATGTATAACTTCTAATAGGTGATTTAACTATGCTTATATTGATATGTAGGGTTTTTTTGTCATCCATGTATATAAGATGATATAATATATATTGTGGAAGTGTTCCTAATATATTAGTATATTATTAGGAATGTATGTGGTGCCTTACAAGGCCATGCACACTGGGTGTTTAATGCCATTTGGTAAGAATTTAAAAAATTAAATAAAATTAATATACAAAAACCTATAACCTACTGATACTTTATAAAAATTAATAAACTGTTGTAAAAAATTTTTTAAAACTCATCTCTTTTAAAAACCCTGTTCATGGACCTGTTAATTACTTGGTCACAATCAATTTTGAAAGTATTATATATTATCATAACAGTCGAATTTAAAAAGACTTGTTTTTGTTTGAAAAAATATATTAAGGGAAGTGTCATTTTTATAATACAGGTACTCCTCACTTTATGACTGAGTTCCATTCCTTCGACTACGTCGTTAAGCAAATTGGTCAATAAGCGAGGAGCTTGCACCAGGAATATAGGATTGTTGTAAAATTATAAAAATTATGCAACAAACTTCAAATTTATTCATAAAAAGTCATGCATATGTACATGTTATCATTTGTTTATTTGGTTATCTGGATCTGTAGAGGGTTTTTTCCAGGTAAATGAGATGACAATGATGAAATAAAAGTTGTGCCTTCAAGGGCGGAGGTCTTTGATGTAACAGTAAAAAAGAAACTCGTAACTGGTTTGCGTTGTAATCATTTTTTTTTCTTGATAAATTTCTCTATAGCACTTTAAAAGTTCACTCATCCCATGTTCAACTTTATGTTAAAACGTTCAGTATTAGGATATATAGCCTCAAGTTCGAACATAGCCGCATTAATTTTGGAGAACACACCAGCTAACCCATGTACTGTGAATTTCTTCTTCACTTCTTTTGTCTTCTTCCTCTTCCAAAAACTGCATCGCTTCTAACTCTATTAAATCTTCATTTGTTAGCTCTCCATTGGCATAATCCACTAATTCAGCAATGTCTTCCACTTCAACATCTAAATTAAGTGCATTGGCAAGGCCTGCAATTGTTTAAATTACATCAAACTGACTAAAAAATCCATAGCAAGCCTATACTACGCTCAGTGAGCATGTCACCAATCGCCGCTGAGAAAGGGGATTTCACAAATTGCAGGTCGAAACTCGGTTGGTCGTAAGTGCAAGTGGTCTTTAAGCAGATAGGTCGTAAATTGAGGAGTACTTGTATGAGAAGTCTCATATTATAAAAATGATGGATGTAACACAATAGACAAGCAATTTTTGTAATTTTTTAATAAATTTATTTGATATTTAATCTTAATTTTTTAATCATTATTTTGCATTTATGATGAAACTTGCATATTATTTTTTTGATCAGAATTATTATTGTAAATGTTTAAAATTTTTATGCTGATAGGAATGATTTTTTGAAGTCAAATCAACCAAGCAGATCTGTATATCATTGGCATACATTACCAGTAGAAGATTTGGTTTTTTCCTTTGAAGGTAAATATTTTAAAATTTTAGTTTATTGCTTTAAACTTCATTTTAAAAAATTTAAATTCTTCATTAGGAAGTCATTTATACTCTGGAGGTGGGGAGTGTGTTCTAGTAAAATGGAAAATTGGAACAGATGTTCAGCATTTTCTTCCTCGTATGGGATATCCTATAAAATATATCACTGTTTCTGCTCATAATGCATATATAGCTTCTTCACATATTGATAATGGTTTTTATTTTTTCATTTTATGTTAAACATTAAGAATTTGTAACAGTTGTCATAAATGTCAAATTTTATTTTTATAGGAATTAATCTAATCAATAATCAAAACAAAATAGAACAAATATTCCAGGGTCTTACCCAGAACTGTATGTTTGGCTTGAATGAATATTCAGCATTAAATATTTTATTATATGATCCAAAGAATCATGCTCTAGTCTTAAAAGGAAAACCAGGATGTCTTCAGTTTTACAATCCAGATGAGGATCGTCATTTATTCAGTGTGAGTAATAAACCTTATAATTAATTTCAATTAGTTTTGTTATTTATGGTTTTTTTTCTTTTTATCACAAAGATTAATGTTACTGGTGAGAATTACATATCTAAAGACAGAGATGCAGATGTTATAAATACAATTATTGATACAGTAGATATTGATAGTGATGGAATGTGGTTAGCTACTGCTGAACATTGGGATGACACAGAATTAAGTCCACATATTAGATTAAAATTCTGGAAATTCATCGAAGAATCTCAAAAGTAAGTTTTTCAAACTTTTATATAAGAAAAGTTCTAATTGGTCATTGAACATGATGATCACTACCTCAATTTATGAACTTCTCTATGGGTCCTGCTCATTTTCTATTTATTTATATGCATGTTTCATGCTCTTTAACATATTTCTTGCTGATTCAATGGAAAATCATTCTTAGATCCAATTAAGTCTGGGAAAAGATTTATTTTGTGATTGTTTTGGCTAACTTCATATTTCAGTGATTACTCTTGCATTCAGTCAATTGGATGGATGAATGAAATAAGGCATGGACAATCTTCCAAGAAGGAATGCCTTCCAGGAGGACTTTCTACTGGAATATGACTCTGTTAAGGTGTTATACATGAAAAAAAGTCTGGAAAATTCCACATGACCAACGTGTTGATGAGATACAAACCCTTGATCAGTTATCAGTGTTTAGTGATGTAACACACCATTCAGTAGCCCAGAGATAACTTAATATAATGGTGTTACATAAAAACAGCAATATACTTAGTTGGTTGCCAGGCCTGGACTTCATAAAAAAGGTAAAACTAACACAAACAGATTAATTTGGAACAACAGTTAAAGTAAAAAATGTCCAAAATAATTGACTGTCAGTATAAAAAAAAAAACAAACATTTATTGAAAATTTTATGAGTTGACAAACTATGTACAGGAGATTAATAAAAAAAACATGGAATTAAATTAACAAAACAAAGTTATAAAATATCGGAACTAGAATTAATTCAAATCAAACACGAAACCAAAAACAAATGTTTGTAAATATTTTCCAACAATTGAAGAACTTAAATCTAGCTTAAAAATTAACTCTCTGCAAAAACTGAAAAAATAACTCAGACTAAATTACTAATAAACAACAAAAAAATTCTTATGATCTAAACTGCCTAACCGTCGCACCAAAAATGCCAGATCTTTTTCATCAAATTGAACTTGCTCTGGAACTTGCCTCACTTGTACTCAGAAGCTTCACCTTGTCATCTTCACTGTCACTAGAGTTATTTTTATACACTTTGGTGTGACGTCACAATTAACTATGCCACACCAATTAACTCATTTACATACTTATAAATTAGCAATTATTTTTTTCCTTTGCAATCTTTCAGTTATAATTGTCTTTCCAATCTTTCCAAAAAAAGTTTCTCTGACTCTTAAGAATCAGCAACAAAACTGAGATAAAATTCTTTAACTCTACTCAGAGATTGCTTAATCTGAGATGCTGTTGATAGATTGGCAGTGTTGGCATTATGATCATGTTTTCATCATGATAATGTTTTCATTATTTTAGAATTTTGTCTGGAAAGGTGTGAAGTTTTGTTTTATAAGCAAAATAAAACATCTCCAAAATAAATAATAATGATAACTAAATAAAAAAAATCATGAAAATAAAAGTGAACATTTGGACTTGACTTCTTACAGTGATTTCATCCACTTGGCCACTAGTAAGCTATTCAGTCATAAATATCATCAAAGGTTGAATAATTTCATTATCAAATGAGTGATATCTGCTCATTTTTTACATGTCCTTCACTTTGACATTTCCATTATTTCAAGTTGAAGAAGTCATTATGGAAGAAAAAATGAGTGTGTTGTGTGTGTATGTGTATACACAGACAACATGTAAGCTTGATAGTTATATTAATAAAAGCTAAATGTTTAAAGGCCAGATTAGATATATCAGGCTATATTTCTGTTACTATTATTGGCTATATTCTTCCAAACCTTCTATGGTATATTGTGAAAAAATTGCTAGGATTATGAAAAAACTATATGTGAAAAAACTAAAATTATTTTTGTCCAAGATTATACATTTCACTCATACTAATTTTGAATCCTTTAATTTCATTACACCACCAGAGAACCTGTTATATGTTCATTTGAGTTTGTACCATGTGAACCTTTCAACTTTATATTGCTACTACGGAAATTTTTTTCACAACAAAAGTGTAAAGCTGAATAATAACTACATCTAGCAGTCAAATTACCAATATTGTGAAAAATATTATTAGTTGAAGTTAACACAGTTTTAAAAAAGTTAAAAAAGTTGGCCAAGTTAATGTCTAAAATTCTTTACAGTTCTTACAGACTGGCAACTTAATTAGAAAAAAGATGGTGATGCCTTTTTCTAACATCCACTAGGCATGATAATTGCTTCTTGAAGCAAAAGTAATAACTTACTAACCTTGTATTTAACAAAACACTAACATGTGTGAGTTACTATGTTGCCACAACAATGTACACCATGTTGGTTGGTATATACTTGCAACCTCCAGTATTTTATTCAATAGTTATTCAAACTGTAAAGAGTATAAAATAATTTTAGTATGTAAAGTAAAACATGTAATAAATTTAATATTTTAACATCTTTGATGATATTCTATATCATCTAAAGTGAAGCCTATTATAACACAAATAGTCATATTACAAAACATAAAACATTTTTTATAAATATAAAGATCAAAATTTATTTGGAGCCTTATATAATTTGAAATATATTGAAATTTTTTTAAAGAAAAATAATAAATATAAACATGGCCGACGGTATTACATTTAATTAAATATAAAAATATAAAATTGCAACGTTTAACAATACTTTGTTTTCGTTTATTCATTTGTCGTTCGCTCCAGTTGACAGTCCACAATTTTAAACACAGAGGCGATATATTTTTTATATTTAATGAAATTTTTTTATAGTTTTCTGTACATCTAGAGATTATGATGTTTATTTGAGACCTCATTTGCTGAATTTGATTAATAGGAAGTGTGTAAACTAATTAATTTTGGAAATTATAAAGTTTATACATAATAATTGTCGGCTATTTTCTGTAGGTCTTCTATTGAGCTATCTTTTGATATATTCATCTTCTTTTATTTTTTCCTTACCAAGTGTGATGGGTTATCTGAAATTGTTTAATCCTAATTATTTTAGATAATTAAATGCTCTATTGCAACGGTGGGCAACCCCCGGCCCGCGGGCCAGTTACGGCCCGCGAAGAGTTTCTATCCGGCCCGCGAGATGTTTAGAAGAAATTATAAATAAATATTTTTCGATGTAATTCGTCTAGTTTAAATTGAATATTATTTTCTGAAGTGTTGCGGCAGCAATGACAGGAAAAAATAAGGGAGTCATTTCTTTATTCAAACAAAAAATGGGAGAACAGAATTTTTCTAAATTATTTATATCTCATCGCATCATCCATCAAGAAAATCTATGTGCAAAAGCTATGCAATTAGAAAATGTAATGTCTGTCGTATCCAACTACATAGTGCTGTTTTTATTGTGTTTAAAGTCACTTAGATTTTACAAATAGGTGAGCCGTTCACAGCCCGGCACACGCATTTGTAAAATCTAAGTGACTCATACAACATGGAATTCATATAAAACGGAATAATCAACAGTGTTATAGGGGGGTCGACTGTAGTAATTAATTTCTTTTTATTTATTTATTTATTTATTTCATATTTGCAGACTAAAAATTTACAGGTCACAAGGTGTCAATTAACTACTATGGCCCGCGGAAAAAACGTAAAATTTATTCTGGACCATGTTATAAAAAAGGTTGCCCACCCTTGCTCTATTGTATATAGATATATTACTTTTTCACTATCTTAAAATCTGTTTTTTTTTTCTTTGTTTTTTCTTGGACTGTATGGGGTCATAGTTATCAATATTTGTTTTGCTGGAAAAAAATATTGCTTGTCTGAAAATACAACAGAATATTTTCTTAACATTTTTATGAAGAGAACAACATTTCTATTGAAAAATTTGAATAACTTCTTAATTCTTTTACTTTAGATTTTATTGTGAAGAGTTATTAGAATATAATATTTATATTATTTGAAAATAATACTGTATAAGTTTATTCTGTGTTTAAAATATTTTATGCAGCTTAATTATTATTAAAATTACACTGATAGTTTAAAATCTTTGATGATAAGAATTTTCTGGTCATTGAATTTTTTTATTTGTCAGAACTGGAGTAAAGTTTCTACAGTTCATATGTAATAATGATTAATTTAAAAAAGAAATTTTTATTATTTAAGTAACAAAATTTTTTAAAATTAAATGTAAAAATAATATATGCTTTATACTTTTTAGAAGCTAGATTGAAGCTATTTTTGTTTTTTATTTAGCTTAAATGAAAATGGAATTGCTAGTCTGCAGATAAGATTTTTAAGCAAACATGCAATTTTGTGCAAGTGTTTTAGATATGTGTTTCATTAATAAAATTCATAATTAGCATTGAAGTAATGATAAGTTATTGTTCAGTCGTATTACCAATAATTTTATATATATATATATATACTGTATATTTTTTTTTTTTTTTAATTTGAAGAGAGCCATTTCTAGAATTAATTTAATAGATTCTATCAGAATGGCACATGAGTTTAATTAAAATATTTTTTTTTAGATATCAACTTAACACTAATATATTTCTTCCACATAAGAAAAGAGTAAAATCAATAAAGTTTCGACCTAAGACTGAATTTCCAACTCCTTTGGCAGTGACAATTAGTGAGGATAACTTTTTTAAGTTATGGTCTGTTTTCACAGATGAAGATGATGATGGTAAGAATTATTTATTTAAGACTTTCATACTATTATATTTAATTAAAATATTTTTAATTTAGAGGACAAAGAAACGTGGAACTGTTTTTATGAAGATGATTATGCTAACCTGGTTCCCACCTGTGCCGAATTTTCAGAGGATGGTTCAATGTTGGCTGTGGCTTTTGAGTACATAATTACCCTCTGGGATTCAGAAACAAATAAGCATCTGAAAAATCTTTATATGTTGGGTGAAGATAGAACTATTCGGTAAATAATATTTTTAGTCAAAATTTCATTTTTATTCTGATGTGATATTAAATCATTTTGGAATATTTACAGTGAGATGGCATTTGGTAGAGATACATGTAGTCACCTGTTGGTATGTGTATCTAAAGAATGTATAGAAGTATGGAACTTGTTAACTTTAAAAGGTGAGAAATATTTCTATTAAGATTTATAAATTTTAAATCAACTATATTATATAAATTTAAATTTATACAAAATCAATTAGATATTAGTTTGGTTGATGACAATATATTTGAAATGAGTGCTTAATAATTCGTAAAAAAACACACAGAATTGGATAACTTATATAAAACCTACAAAATCAAAAATCCAGCAAGAAAAACTTAAGAATTTAATGGTAAACAAACATTTTCAGTTGCATTGAGTAACCATCTTCAGGTTACAAAGGATGTTTGGAAATGGAACATGGAATGAAATGTTATTTTTAAATTACAAAAGAATCAATGTCTGATTTAATATTGGTGAACACTTTGTTTCATAAGTTAGAACAACAATATTCGATCTCAAATAAACTCAAGATTTGTGACAGGATGGTATTATCTCTAATTAATAGCCAAGTTAATCCTGCTTACTTTATAAATTTCTAGCTTTAGAAGATGTTTGAGTTGGGAAAACTCTCTTGAATGGTGAATGAATTGTGCCCTGTCTGTGTCCTTGTATGTCATCTTCCAAAAAATTTCCATGGATGTGTGTGTTGGCATCTATTTTGCTTAATATCTCAGGATGGGTGAAGATAAAGAAACAAAATTTGGCACAGTAGTTTGTATATAAGGGGCATTAATGCTATTAAATTTTTGGTGTGAAAGGTCAAGAGAATGGAGAAATAGAGGGTGGTCACATGTTATATCTTGTGAGGGATCAGACATAAAGATTTTACTTGTTAGCATTTACAGTGTTTTATAAAACTCAGTAAGAGAAGAATGCCTCAATTTCAAATATTGTGAGAAGATATCAACTGCTTGGCATGTAAAGTACTATATTAGTTTTCTCCGACTTTCTACAACGATTATCGACACGACTGTGTGCCGGAAATAGCCGTTACCTAACGGGTACTTTACGCGGATTCGCGTTAGTGTGCCAGGTCTGGACTTTAAGCGTGCACCGAATTAAATAATGACAAAGTTTGTCAATAACAAATCAAATATTTGATAAATATTCTAGTAATAACTATATGGACTGTTTATTTTGAAAGTGGTGTAAGTCCATTTTTTCTTCTTTCGAGATATTTAAACATTTGCATTTTAGTTGATTCAAAAATATAAACAAAGTGTACTAAGTTTGACAATGTTTCTATGACTTTAGAAATATGTAAGTTGATTGCATAAAGACTTCTATGTGAATTTATCCAAACTAATATATTCTTTCTGGGCCATAAATGGACTTACACCACTTTCATAATTACTAAACTGTAAAATTCATTAAATTTCTATTATGTAAAACTCAATGTCACTTGAAACACATTGCGTTTTATTCTGATTTTGTTCATATATAATAACAAGAAATAAAATAGTATTGTTTATTCTGAACATTAAAAATATTTACTTATTGTTAAACTATTTTATGATAAATTTATCATTATTATGAGCTTACCATTAGACACTGCTTTTCATTTAGATTCATTACATGGATTTTTTTCTAGTCCATCAAATTGTACATTTGTTGGTAATATTTACAGTTTTACTCTTCTGTTGTAAGGGGCTGTCTTTAAATGATGTCCACACTGAAAGGGAGGGAGGGGTTAAGACAAGTTGGACAAGGAGGGTTGAGTATTAGTGGACATCCATTTATTTCATTAAATTTTATACAATATGCATTTTATTATATTTATTTCAAAGTTTCTTGTATGTTTCATTTCTACTTATGGTATCTATCATTCATAAAGTGATGAAGGTTTTAACAGGGATAGAGTTATGTTGGACATCCATAGAGGGAAAGGGGTTACAAAAACTTGGACAAACTGGGACAAGAGGGGAAAGTAAAAATTTCCAGAAAAATGCACATGTAATTTATGGATAGCCCAAGTGCTTAGACTGTAGAAAATGGACTTACACCACTTTCAAAATCAATGGTTATGCAATGTCATTTACCGATAAATTTTCAATTCATCAAAGCTTATGGTTATTTTAAAATGTTAAGTGTAAATTGTTTATAAATAAAAAGTTCACACTAAATTGTATGTATATTATGTGTTTTCTCAATTTTTTCCAAAAATGGACTTACACCACTTTCAAAATAAACGGTCCATATACAAAATTTAGTAAAAATCAAGTAACAATTTATTCAATGAAAATCAATAAGAATCAACCTGACAAAACTCAAATCAATCTATTTTCTAACTTAATTCTATTCCCCTTTGGAATTCGACAAAATTTCAAAGACTTAATGTATATACAATAATTCTTATGAATTAAAGATCCTAATCGTCACCTCAATATACTAGGAACCCTTTTCCTCAACTCTCAAGACTTTCTCTAATCTTCGATCCACAAATCGAATAACTTCAAAATCGCCTTGGAACTATTTTATCTTATCGGACCTTTCTCTCGTTTGCTGCTACGAAGCTCACCAAAGCTCGTTGCTAACAGAAGCTCACCTCTCTCTCTCTCTCGTTTGCTGCTACGAAGCTCGTTGCTAACAGAAGCTCACCTCGTCCATCTTCACTTGAGGTTTGGAGTTTATACTGTGAGATGGCATCACAATTCTGAGTGCAATCACTCCCCTCATTTACATACTTATTTGCTAACGATAAACTTTTTCTATTTGTCTGGCAGCCTATTTTCCGGCAATACTTGCTAACCTTTTACATTATTCTTTTTGACAATTTTTCGGGATGTTTTTATTCTTTAAGGTTTAGCAAGGTCATAAGTTATGCTTGTGGGGTCTTCCCCCCTTTTCTCGGTGCGGACTTACTTTTTACCGCTCAGGAGTGCGAGTTTTTCCTACAGCACTTTTCTCTAGTCGGTGAGTTGGTTTCTCTTCTATTTTTAAGTTTCTAAGGTGAATGGTGAGGAAACCTTCGTCCTAACAAAACATAAGCCCCAAACAAAAATATAATAAAAAGCAAAAATAAAAGTAAATAAAAATAATGCTCGGACTTGGTTTCTTACAGGCAATCTTTTTATGATGAATCAAGAACAATTCAGAAAAATAGAGTTTTTAATTAAAGAAAATTTATATTATTTATAACACAAACTAACCCTTTCATTTTAATTTTTACAAAACCACACATCTTAATATAATTTGTTCAGGACATGTGAATTTTAAAGTTGTTCCAAAGTTTAAATTTTTTAATATTTATATTGAAACTTACATTCTGAAAATAGAGCATATTAATACATCATCTGATGCAAGTCCATTTAAAGGTTGAAAATGTTCTATGTATTAAAATTGTTTACTGGTTTGAAAATAAGGTTGTTTTTATGTTTGTCTCATTCAGTATTGTGTGAGTAGTACTTTTAAAATATAATAAAATTTAAATGCATAAGGATTTTTAGTGACTGTGAAGAACATGTTCTAATACATGAGAAATAGAGCAACAATGTCAATTGAAAAGTTGTAAAAGATAGCAAAATAAGTAATTTTAGCTATTGTATTCTTTAGTCTTGAATGGCACTCTGTAAAAACAGAGTGCCATTCAAGACTGTTTCAAGCTTTCAAAACATGAGTGATGTTGTCATACAAGAATAATTTTTTGGTTTAAAATTAATGTTGCTACTGATAAATTATATTTATACTCAAAATGGATGAATAGAAATTAGAAAAAATATAGCAATGTAATCAATATGTGAGAATAATTTATTTTTAATGTGATGGAAATTCTATCAATAAAATTTTATTTTTCAATATAGTAACTTTGGAAATTCGGATACAAGCTTTCTGTTTGACAACTGATCCAGAATCTAGTATAATGACTGTTTTTGACAAAAATAAAAAATGTAAGTTTGTTTACTTTTTTCTTGTTTAATTAAAACCATACCTTTTATATTGAGGGAAAAAGAACAGGTATCTTCTTTTTCCTCAAAATAAAGAATACCATAAAAATACAAAATATTTGAAATTTTATTTTAAGAATTGAACAAATTGATATAAAATAAACTTACTGTGGAATGTAAACTTTCCATAGTGTTTGTCTTTACGCCAGACAATCCAAAGCCAATATACACCCATAAAAATGCATATACTGAAACAGTTACCAATTCAACATTTTTTCCCCGGAAAACTGAACAGGAGGAAGGATGGCAGAAATATTCTCAGTTGTATTATATGAATGAAAAACAAGTGAGTAATGAAAGTTATTTGATTGACATGATTTGAAAAAGTTCTGATAGTCTATTCATTGATTTTTCTAGGAGTTGATCATGCTAGCTGAGGAAACTGAATCTAAACAAAACTTGCCGATATGGGTAATTGATTGATTCTTTGTCTTTTTTTATAATTTAAACTAAAATTTTTAATTTCACTTTTCTGAAGTATTTTATTATTTATTGAACAATAGAATTCTGAACAGTTCTATTATCAACCCAACACTCCATTTGCAAGATTGATGGCAGAGCATCAGGCACATGGACCAGTGCAACACAAAATGCCTAATTTTAACCAGGATGGCACTTTGGGAGTAGATGTACTAACTATGGTAAGTTCAATTTTGGATTGTTAATTTCATACATTGCTTTCTTTATATCTTATACATCTAATAATTATTAATATAGAAAGAATGTATATATAACATTATTATTATAATTTTTAGATTAAAAATACTCCTACATATCTCTTGCCACCTTTAAGCACATTTGCTGAGGAATATCTCTCATCAACACTTATTCCATTAAAACGGTAATTTAATATTTTTATGATTTAGTTGATTTGTCAATCACATTATCATAATAACTGAATTGTTTGTTAAAATAATATAGGGATGAAGCTAATACTAAAGATGAGTCAGAACCAGACATGGATCGTGATGCTGAATTACAGGATTCTAAGGAAAATAATTGCATGGAAATAGATAATGTTTCACAGCAGATTGATTTAAAAGCTATTTTAGAAGAAAATTATGACTGGTTGGATGTTTGAGATTGTGACTAAGGTTTTTAATTGTAAAAAATCAATGGCATTTTGTACAAATTGAATTGTTTCATAATCATCTCATTAAATTATTCACATTTCACATTAAAAGTTGTTACTTTATTTTTGGCAAAATTTTCATTTATTCAAACATTTACATTTAGTTGTACCATATTTCAAATTGATTTGAGATTCCTGTTATCATTGATATCAATTCAATGTATTTTTTGTTTTCTTTTATTCTAGAAATTTATTCAAATTTCTTGCTTTTCCACTTTAAAGCAAAGTACTGTATATATTAATTAAGAATTAAAAAAAATTAGAAAAAATTTGATTTATCACAAATAAATCACACAAAAAGTTCACTTAATTCATCATAATTTTGAATTTAATGAAATTAGAAAAGTACTAATTTAATTTGTTAGAAAATCAATTTGTTATCAGGAAATATCTGAGAAAACAGTCCCAGCATAGTTTTCTACTATAAACAGTTGTTCTAATTTTCACTTTCTGCTTAAACTGTTAGAAAAGTCTTGTTGCCTTGTATTTTAATTTTAAAAGTTTTATAAACATACCTAATTCTGTTTTTACATACTTTTTTTTTAAAACAATTTTGATTTAATACAATTTTTAAAAACAAAAAGTTTTCTTTTTACATGAGTTGTTTTATTGAAATATAAAAAAATGTATAATTTTATATGAATTAACATAATTTTTCACAAAACACATTTTTTATAAAAAATCAAGTGATTTGCATATAAAAAATTCAAATTAAAGAAAGTCTTTATCAGCTAACAAATCATTTTGTCAAGTATGATCTTATTGAAGAATGAGTTTTAAAGTTTCAACTTGATTTGAAATTGTTAATGTTGTCTTATAGAGAATTATATAAAGGTCTAGCCACAATATGAACCAAGCCATTAATAATTGAATTTGTTCATAACATCAGCGCCACAGGACATTACTGTTAATGTTCAGGAGTTTACAGAAAGAACTTCAACTGTGGATGAAGAACACAATAACCAAAGCATTTATAGTGTTAGCAATCATGTGCAAACATACACATTTATTGACAGAAAGTGACAGTGAATAAAATCTTATGTATAACTGGCATTACATTTTTTCCCAAATTTTATGTTTATTAATTCTTTACGTGTTTTCTTTTTCAAATGAAATTTATGTTCCTATTTTTATTTATGTGCATACAATACATTTTTATTTATATACATTATATTATATAATGTTTATGAAATAAAATTTGATAACATGCAAAAAAATAAGATTCTAACAAAATTTTTCATATGGATTATTTCATTATTTTTGTTGATTTCTTAGGTTTATAATCTTCTAATTTTCCATATATACAATGTATTTTTTTACATGAAATGTTTGGGAAACTATCTATCATAAAGTACAGAATTGGGTGTATATTATTTTATTATTAGTATAAGATTAATAATAATACTGTACTTTTAATACCTAACTTTTTTACTAAATTAATTAAACAAGGATATAAGACTAAATTAAATAGATCTTAAAAGTAAAATATTTTAACTGGATTATTTTTTTTATGAAAGGCAGCATGTTTTTACTTTTATTTTAAAAGCATTCCTTCTAATTTTGAATAAAGAATATTTAACTAGAGGTGCTGATGATTTTTCTTCTTACTGCCCTGTGGTCACTAAGCAGGTATTTATATCAAGTTCATTGTGGTGTTACCAGATCCACAATGGACAGCCAGATGGTGGGGAAATCTAGTACAGGATAAACTAAAATTTCCCCTGAAAATCTTGTGGGTTTTTTCTTTACCCAACTTGATTTGTTTTCATATCTTCCAGAGCAGTAGGCTGATGGCCAAGCAGTTAAAGATATCCTTAACTGCTTGGCCATCAGGTTGTCCAATGTATGATATTAAAAATATTATCTTGATTGTTTTCAATGACTTTACTAATAGCAGCATTTAATTTCTCAACATGAGAAGATTCAAGTGTCGCTAATTTCAAAATGAAAATTGGGAAAATTTGTTGGATTCATGTTGACAGACTTTCAAATAACTTTTTTTGCTGTGTTTTCCAATGAATGTTTTGAATTTAAAGTGAGATATGAAACACATTAATTATTATTATTTTATGATTCTTAAAAATACCACCGATTTTGTATATTTATATGTTTGATTTACATTGTTATATTTTACGTTCTAATTATTTAAAACTTTTTAAAAAAATTTTTGAAAACTTGTGTTCTGGACATTCCAATTTGGGATATAACGTTGACCTGAGGCAATCTTGTTTAAGATCGAAAACGTTCGTCAAGTTTTTTGCATTAAATTTCGCTACTGGATGTTAAAGGTTTTGTTGATTGTGCTTTGTAATTTTGAATCTCGATAAAAATACGCATCAACGAGAAATTATTTATTGTCACATGGTCACAATGCTGGGCTGCATTTTTAATCAATTTAATTTAAAATATATGCTCTCCACCTCAAATTAGTAGTGGTTTCCCTGTAAATTATACTTTTCCTTTAACAATAGGGTCGTGCCAGTCATCTGTTAACTGCTTTCAGGGGGAAAGAGTTTTAAATTGAAATAACATGCCTTTTGGTATGCATCAGAAGTTTGTATACAGTTAATCCCTCACTTCTGCCCCTTTGCTTACCATATCTGGGCCGTGTTCAGTAACGCAGAACACCTAAGTTAGAATTCTGAGTGGCTTAGTGGGCGGAGCTAAGAATGTTCCGAGCATCATTGAACGATTATTCTTAGACAACTAAGCAAAATGGTGGACTAAGTTAAAATCATGATTGCAACAATTGTCGCAAACGAACTGGTCGAAAAGGATGAAGTAATCAATACAATTTTTCAAATGAAAGCTGCGTCAGATCGTGATGAAATTAATGAAACAATTATTAATTGTAATCAACGAAATGGGTCGTTATTTTCCGTTAAAATGTATTTGGAATTTGTTATACCGACGTATGATAATTTTACATTTCGAAGTCATTTTAGAATAAGAGAATAACTTTTTGATAGTTATAATAAGATATGTTTAGTCCAACACGAGCATCAATCTTGCAAATCGTACAAGACAAGACAGAAACAATGACGTCACTAGTAGAAGTTACATAAAGTAAACGCACCCATAAGTAAAAGAAGCTGACTGAACTAGCGGTGGGAGGAGTCAAACAGTAGCTAGAAACGAGTTCAACATCGCAGCATAACTAGACTTAGCAAGAATTCTGCGTTACTGAACACGGCCCTGGTCTCGGATTTCACCTATCAGACTTCGTTCTTATTATTTACAGATTAAGGACAGACGGACGGACGACAATGGGAATTTATAGGTCTACAATTTTTTCAAATTGCAGCCCAACAGTGACGTTATAATACGTCTTACAATTTTAGTACCACATATGTTTGTTAAGTTATGGCAGCGCAACACTTGGGCGATCTGTCTACGGGAGATGTCTTCCGGGAGGTCTTTTTAAAGGTAACTGCCCCCACTGATCTATGTGCCTTCTGCAACACTGAAGATAACGCTAAACACTTTGTTTGAATGTCCTATGCTGGATGCAGAACGTTTTGAAAGTAGAACTATTGTGCAGGCTAACAATATCCAATGGACTTGCACTTGTGACATCCTAATAAATATTAAAACTGTGTATTACTATTTCAAGCAACTTGTAAACAAATACCACGTCTTGAGAAGCTCTGCTGTGAATCCGACTGCTAACTAGTAACTTTGTCCTGCATATACCACTGTGTATCCTGCGTTTTAAAACTCAATTTTACCTTGTAAATCTATCATTGTACATATCGGAATTTTGTATATTACTTATATTAATATGTGACTTTCTATATGTATTTGCTATGTATACTCTGCTTGTGCTTCACCAAAGCAGACGCGCACCCCTTCTTGAATAATGTATCCCATTAATACTGTCGCGACTCTTCTATTTTATTATCTGTATTGTAATCAACCGCTTGTCTAAAATATCTGTATCATATTTCATATTGTGTATTTGTACTCATCACCTAGTTTTGCCTCGCGGTGCTAGATATATACTCAATTCTGTACCTAATAAATTGTATTGTATTGGATTGCCCAGAGTGGTGGGCTATTGGTGATTCTGAACAATATATACAGTATATATCTTTGAGCCTAACATATATACTGTTTTTTTTTCTTTGAGCGAAAAAAACGTCCACAACGCGTTGTGGTTTCTTTAAACCATCCAAAACGCGAAATTCGCGTCGTGGCTTTTATGATATTTAACCACTAGCCGTTGCGGTAATTAAGAAAAACCATAACACGTCCTGAACGTTAGCTGATGCAACCGCGATACGACGGATAGGTTGAAATTGGTTCGAATGTTTTAGTTAGGGTGCCTGATGTTGATAGGAGATGTGCAGCTCCCAAAAATGTTTTAGCTGTTGTTACGAGCATTAATCCATCAGGTCTCTATCAGTTAGGAAACAAGGAAAGTCTTCTTGATCGACTTTATGCTCGTAATAAATTTACAATTTCTGAAAGTAACTTTATTAACATTCAGGACGTACCCTCAACTTCACACTTCGCTCAGCATCCACGTTAACATCTGGAAGTAAGCAAGGGTTTATAATGTGTCACTGTAAAAGATACTGTATTGATTAAAAATGCAACTCGAAATATCACAGTAATAGTTCTTGTAAGAATAAATAACTCTGCAACATTCTTGATTCTCATAAAAAAGACTGATTTATTAATAAAAGTTCCTGACAAAGTAATTATTTTTAGTAAAAAGTTGTTTGAAAATGTTGACATCTCGAGCACCGCAACAGATTTTCATGAATGATTAAATTTTTTAAAAAGTAACCAAGTGTGTGTGAATAATTTGTGAACAGTAAAGGTGGTGAATAATTTTGTTACCTAATTATATAAGATGATTGAAGTTACACAAATCATAATGAAAAGGAAAGTTTATTTTTTTTATCGTAACCTCGGTTATTAGTTAACATCCAGAACTTATGGTGGCATTTAAATTTAACCATAATAAATCCGTCGCACAGGGGTTTTTAACTTTAGCAGATAATTTTTTATGTCATCGTGTAGAGTACATCAAGCACCTACCAGTA